CTTACAAAATCAAAGGTGGTGGCTGCAGTCTTCCCTTTGGGGCAGGAGCGAGAGAAGGAAGGGAGGGTGGGGAAGGTCTGGAATAGATACCAAAGGCAACACAGAAGGGAGCTGCCCAGGAGGAGTGAAGGGATTTATTCGTGCCCGCAGGGCCAGGGGAGACTGAAAGAATTCCGGGGAGTGTTGAGGCTCAGGGTGGAGAAGCAGTGGTGGAGACTGACATTCTGGGCTGGAGCTTTTCCATGAGAAAGGCTTGTGTGGCTATGGATGGACACGTTCCCACACGTGGGTGGGAAAAGACTGCTGTGTTCTTGAAGGATTAGAAATAAGAATTTTGAAAAAACTTTAAAGGTGAAGACTTTATGCATACTAGAGAAGGTTTACACATAGGCTTTTAAGGGAAAAATGGAAAACAGTGCTTAGGTACTGTGCAAATTCACAGGACTCATGGCAGGAACATTCCATTTTGGCCATAGATAAGAGTTACAGACTTGAAGGGTTTCCTCTTATTATGGGATGTCTTTGTAATGGCGGGGAGCAGCGAGGAATTCACGAGAAAGATAGGAAAAGAGCTCATACTTCCCTAGAACCGTATCAACTGTGGAGGCAGTAGCTAGAAAGAGCCACGTCAGACTCTGGGCTTGTCAGCACCTCTTCAGTGTGATATATTTTAAGGTTTTCTCAGCACGAGTTTGACTTTTAACAATGAATTCAGAAAAGGGGGGAAGTGATAATAAATCACAAACAATAAAAACCAACAGAGATTTCTTCTGACCCTGCCACCGTAGCTCTTCCATCCCGCTGACCAGTCATGATGCGCTGACTGAAAGCACTTAGAAGAGGCCGGATGCAGCTATACCCTGGAGACCAGAGGCACGGGAGCCTTTCAGAAGGCACCTTGCTTGTAAAGAGTCAGGGCTGCTGCACTGGACACGTGAGGGGCTTTAAGGCCGGGGGTTGGGGAAAGGAATAGGAGAGAGTAAAGCGGTGGCCGCCAGGCTGGGGAGAGTGGAACGGCAATAAGATCAGGCTTTGCAGGGTGAACGGTTCTGCCCGGAGTGGTGGAGAGGTGAGGGAGGGTCTGGAGACAGCCACTGGGGTCTCGTTTATGGGAAAGGCATTTTAATAATTAACAAATGAGAAAAGTCATGGAGCCAGTAGTAATGTGACCCTAGCCTTTTGAAACTATGCCTTAGGAGCCTGCAGGCACGTTACAGGCTCCCCAGCCAGTAAGGCTGAGAAAGCTAGGAAAACACAAGGAACTGCTGTAACCAAATAAAACTTACCACTAGGTCAATTTAAGACACATTTGATGAGAGCCATAATTCAACACCGGGTATATGGAAGGAACACATGGAACAGGTCTTATAAATTACTGAAATTAGCAATTTAGAGACAAGTATAATTTTAATTTTTCTCTTCTCACTTTGTTAATACTCCTTTAATATCATCAACACAATATTGAATTTGCTGTTTCCCTATATTGACTGAAATAATCAGACACACTCTTATGTGTGAAAACACAAAGATGCTTTGGTCTAAGAATTCTTTTTTCAACACAACCTTCAGGTCCTTCCACAGTTAAGGATGCCTGGAGTTTTCTTTCTTTTTTTTTTTTTACCGCAACTAAATGCTATATTGAGTTCTTCAGAGGCAGGGAGATAGAGTAGGGAAAAGAGGATTATTTCAATCCCCACTCTGCTCTTAATCAGCTATATGATGTTGGTCACCTTAACCAGTCTTTCGGAACCATGAGTCACCTAAGGGAAGATGTTAAATAGCCAGCAGGAGAGGTGAGGAAGGACCAGCACTGAAGCAGAAGGTAATCAAGGAGAGTGTGACATAGAAGCCAAGAGAAGAAAGTGTTTTTAGAAAGAGTGGTCAACCATGTTGAAAGTTGTTGCAAAGGTAAGTTGAAGTTTCCGTTGCATCTGGCAATGTGAAACTAAGACTTCTAAATTTTTCTTGGTCCATTATTTCAAGGCCATGGGGAATCTTAAAAGAAAAGGAAAAAAGATAGCATCTTTGATTATCATTTTATGAGACTTCTTTCCCAAGGTCTTATTTGTGTATTAAAACAAAAATCTGAGAATAAATTTTTACAACCCTGGTTTTTCCTTTCACTTTCTGTCATTTCTAGGTTCTCTGTGCCCATTTAAGGGAGAATTCTAAGGGATGGGAGTAAACTAAACTGAGACTATATAATTCAGGGCAGGTTCAGAAACATTTCCTCTTCATTGTAAGTGCATCTGATAACAATATTTTCCATACTGATGTGCAACAAATCTTTCAAAAGCACTCATTTCATGGTTAGCCTAAATTTAGGCAAACACAATTTCTGAACACTAAGAAAAACAAATGCCATAATAAGCCTTCTAGCACAAGGGTCTAAAAATAGTGTATTCCTTCTCCCAGCCCCCCACACAAAGGAAAAGCTCTTGGACGTCAGAAGTTCCATGAACCCCCGAGACAAGGCTCTCTGCATGTGTGCTGACTTCCCAGTGGACATCTGGCTGTTTATATGTTGGGAACACATTTCATCAACTAACTTTAGTTATAATATCCTTACCCACTCGGATGGTCTGTGGTCATTTGGAACTGGAAGCATCGAAGGGACTTAGAGACTTGGAAAGTGGGGACACTGAGTCTTGAGAGTCCTGAGTCTTGGCGGGATTGGTGAAGTTACACAGCTCACGCACCAGTCTGTTCCTGCACCAGCCGCCTTAAAACAAACCTCCCAGATGCTCACCTTGCTCCCCTCCCAGCACAACTGCTCTCACGAAGTCCAGACTCAGTGTCTCTGCTTCCTGACCTCCCATTCACTCTCTACCCACTTCAATCTGACTCCCTTCTCCACAGCTCATGAATAAATGCATGCATGTCAAGGTCACCAACATCTTTCAAGTGATCCAAACAAAGGTCACTTTTCTCCATCCCTTTTACAACACCCCTCAGCAACATCTGACACCCCACTTCGGCTTCTTGACTCATTTTCTTTCCTGGCTTCCATGACTCCTGGCCTCTGGGTTTTCTCTACATTGATTTCCCCAGGTTCTCTGCTGACTCCTCATCTTCCTCCCAACCTCTTCTCTCACTTGTTTTTTTCTACCTGGTGATTTCAACGGGCTCAGAATTGCAAGTATCCATAGGGTGAATGTTTCAGTCTCTCCACTGAGCTCCTGACTTGTAAACCCCACTGCGTTCTCCACATTGAACATCTATTTGGCACATCAAACTTAACAACATGCAAGACCGAAATCTTTATTCTTCCCTCCAAAGCCTGCTCCTCCCAAAGTCTTTACCATCTCACCAAATGGCATCACCATCTGTCTACCCAGCTGCTCAAGTCAAAAGCCTAGAAGTCATTCTGGACACTTTCATTTTCCTTTTCTCCATATTCAACAGACCAAAGACCTGCCAGGTCCACTGCCAAAGCACGTCTTAAACAGGTCTCTTCCTGGGTCTACCCCGCTGCCACCAGGAGCTCTAGTGTGGACTACTGCAATCTGCTAACCCTTCTTGTTGCTTCTCGTCTGCTGCCTGCAGTCCATGCCATACAGCGGCCAGGGAAGCAGCGTAAAAACACCAGACAGATCGGATCCTCTGTCCTTAAGGCCCTGGAGCAACTCGGGATGATCCAGCTCCCACCCGCCTCTCCCGCCCTTCCAACCGCACCACCATCCTTTCTTCCTCAACCCCAGCATGCCAGGCCCTTTCCTGCCTCCAGGCCTTGGTGCTCCTCCAAGAGGCACTGCCCAGCCTCCCTACTATAAATCTCTGGGTTCCCTTCGCATCCACTTCTCACTGCCTGTAACTAGCTGTGCACACAAGAGGGTCCCCGCTAAGTGTAAGTCCCGAGAGAGCCGGGACCCCATCCACGGTGGCCACGTGTGTCGCCAACCCGGCAGCTGAGGGAAAGGATGCTCACAGTGGCGCTGGGTGGGGAGGGCAGGCTCCTGGCTCCTAAACAATGGATGAGTCAGCTGACGCCTGCGGTTAGTGTGCAAGGGAAGAGCGGCCACACCCAGCGCTGCTGCACAAAAGCACTGGCCAGCCTCGCCGGGGTCGGGCTGGACTCGGCATTTCCTTCAGACTTTGGCCTTAGTGTGCAGTCACTGAAGAGGGGGGTGTTTATTTGAAAACAAGTAGCAACAGAACCGGTCCAGGCAGGCTCCTACCCAGGCAGTAGACTGGCCCTGGGGGCTGCCATCTAAAATAAGGGCCGATTCCTGGATGGCCGCCTTCCCACCTGTCTGACTACAGATTCCAAAGGCTTGGCTCCAGTCAACAGGGGGGCAGGAGGAAAGCTTCTGTTGCCATAGTAACCACAGTGCTCCTGGGGCCTAGGCTCAAGGTTTCAGATAAACAACTATTTAGAGAAGTGAAGAAAAGGAAAGGAGAGAAACTGTGCCCCCCACCCCCCCAAAATGGTGAAATGGCGAGAAGTAATCCAACAAGTGCTGCAAGACACACTCTGAAAATAAAACCAGGGAGCCAAGAGTAGAATCCTCCCACCGCACCGGAGTGGCCTCCTGCTGGGGACCCAGCTGGAACAAAAGGCCCCATTGACACAAACATCTGTTACTACTAAACACTTAGGAATCAATATTTTCCTAAAGGCTTTTTTTTCTCTTTTCTCCTTTTGGCTTTAAAGGGTTACTGTCTGCCAGGCTACCAGATCCTCACCTTCTCCAAAGTCCACGGTCAACCATGTAAAGTGACTATTAGAACTTCAAACGAAGAATTTGATCCTGGAAATGGCCCTGTGCTAGTTGTTTTCCTGAACACAGACACCAGGAAAATGTCAGAAGGCAAATCCAAACCCACGCCCTGAAAGACTTAAAATGTTAACAATCACATCCCTGGGAGGATGAGTAATCTAGCCCAATTTAATTTAAAAAGGAAACCCAGCAGATTTAAGAGATGGCCTGGGTGTGCCTTGAAGGGAAGGAGGAGCGAGATGGGGAGGACGGAAGGTGACAGGATCAAGGGGACTTTACCTCAACACCTGCATTTCCTCCGGGGAGTTCTGCACCTCGTCCTGGAGGCGATGCCAGCGCAGGCAAGCCCTCAGCTCCTGCTGCTCCTGGGCCTCGTGGGGGGCCAGCTGCTTGGAGCACAGACACACAGACACACATGCACAAAACACAGTCACTGCTGTCCTCTGCAGGGTCAGCCGCCAATGGAGCGGCAGGCTTTGTTTCGGGGGGGATGGCACAGACAGCCCCCACTGTGCCTTGCGCCCCACAGGGAAAGTCCGAGGGCCAAAGAGGCCTTTCAGGTCCTCAAACGAAGAACCGGCCCTCCCTCCCGCGCTGCCTGCTTGGGAGGTGCCCCCTGGTCTGACAGCCTCCCCGCCTCCCCCTGTCCGCCCCACCCTGGAGAGAGCAGACCTCCCTAGGGGCCAGTTTCCACTCTGATTCCTTCCAGCCCTGTCTTGCCTTGTCTTTTCATACAGGGTGGGAAAGGTCCCCTCCATTTACCTCCTATTTTTTCCCAGCCCCCAGTTTTGTTAAGGGCTGTTTACAGTGGAGCCTGCTAATGTAACCCAGATGACTCTGTTTGCATATAACCAGGAATAGCGCGATGCCTGGACTCCCTCTCTGGCAGGAAGGCCATCACCCCTGCCCTACTGGTCAGAACTGGCTGCTGTCACCCGTGTGCTCACAAGGCCCCTCAGCTTTAAATGCCACAGTGGGGGGTGGGTGGGGTGGGCAGCAGGATATCCACTGGGGAAGGAACTGTCAGTGCCTATAGGCATTCCTGGAAACTGACAGATATTTACTGATTCTCTGCTAGGCCCTGGGGATATAATGGACACAGCTATGAACTTGAGGAGTCCAGGGAGACAGATGAGAATACTAACCATTGGAGTCCAGTGATGGTAGGGGTTTAGGAAGGACTCCAGAGCCCCCCAGACAACCAGGGTGTTCAGAAGGTTTTCCTGTGGAGGGGATGGGGTTTGAACTGGTCCTCAAGGAAAGCAGGAGTCAGCCAGGAGAGGAGGAATTTCAGGAAGAGGGGAAGCATGTACAAAGCTCGTGGGGCCTGGAAAGAGTGTGAAATGTTTTAAAAATGGGGAAGGTTAGGGTTGGCCAGGGAGCAGGCTGCCATTCAGGGAGGGACAGAAGTGCCAAGTAGCTAGCAGTGGTGATATGATCAACAAAACTTGTGTGTCCTGTTGTTATGGACTGAATTGTGTTCCCCCAGCAGAAATCCTATGTTGAAGACCTAGTCACTGGTGTGACTGTGTTTGGAGATAGGCGCCTCTAAGGAGGTAATTAAGGTTAAACGAGTTCAAAAGGATGAGGCCCTAATCCAATAGGGTTGGTGTCTTTGTAAGGAGAGGAAGAGACACTGAAACTCTCTCTCTGGGCCATGTGACGACATAGTGAGAGGATGGTCCTCATCAAGCCAGGGAAGAGAGGCCCCACCAGAAACCAAGCCTGTCAGCACCTCCATCTTGAACTTCGCCTGTTTAAGTCTCCTGGTCTGTGGTACTTTGTTATGGCAGCCTGAGCTGACTAAGACACCTGTAAAGAAGTCTAGACTTTCTCCAAGTTGATGACAAGTTGTATGACTCAACTTGCCACTAATTCAATTCACTTCTCTCTGTGGAACGCCGCTGAGAGGAGTGGAGGTTTCTATCTCCTTGTTCAGAGGTCCCCCACTCCCGTTTGCTGTACTTGATAATGTGTGGCGCTGCAAAGTACAGTCTCCTGGGCAGAAAAGCAACATTGCACTCTCATGCCTTGTTCAGTGATGAAGCAACCTGTTAAGCGGGAGAGTCCCCTGAGGCCACCCACCCTTTTCTGCCCTGAGGAGCACTTTTCTCTGGCTGAGGAGGCTTGGCAGGGACCACCAGCAGCTCAGTCTTATACCTTCAAGGAAGGGATCAGAGCAAGCGATGAACCCTGGAAATGTTTCCAAACTTTGGTCTGATTCCAGAATGGACACTTCACTTCAGGGGGTGTCTGTGTTTTCACACATTGAAGATTTACTGCATGTACCTTAAAGGATGATGAGGTGGACTGCCCCCTACTCCAGGTTAAGGGTAAAAGAGGGACAATGAAACTTTAACCCCTATTTCCCTTTGAGGCTCATGAGAAGCCATCTCCTCCAGGAAGGCTTTCTGGGTTTTCTCATATCCAGCCTCTTTCATCTTTGAACTCCCATACTACTTAGTGTTTACCTCTCTTTTCTAACTTATTTTCTTCTTCCTTCCACTATATGCTTTCCATATCTTCAAAATTAGACTCTGACCTTTCTCAAAGCAGCGTGGTGGACTTAGCCTTTTATCTCTATGAATCTAGCAGAGAATGGACACATGGAAGGTTTATAGCTGTGAGATGCAGCCAGGCCAGTCTTGTGCCTCTATCAGTACTGATAGATGCAGGGCAGAACAGCTAGAGGCAGGACCCAAGCAAAGAGATTCCAGGAGGCAGAGGCAAGAGGAAGGATAAAGGGGGAGTGCTCTTTGGGGATTCAGGACATAAAGGGCAGAGAGATGGCCATCAGACACCTGACATACACTCCTGATCACCAGAATAGCACAAATCTGATCGTCTCCAACGGAAGCACCTCAGGAGAGAGATGGTGAGAGAGGCACATTTACTCTAAACCTATTCAATCCTTGCTGAATGCCTACTCCACACAAGGTGGGGGCAAAAACAAAGATGAAGAGAACAAGAGGGACAACGGGTATTTCTTGCACGCACTCCATGTGTCAGGCATGGTGCTAATAAGCTCATTCACACACCACCCCTTGCACTCTGCAAGGTTAAGCATTTTATAAATGAGGAAACTGAGCCTCAGGCAGGTGACTTAACCTCCTGACACTCACAAAGCTGGTAAACAGCACAGCTGGGATTCCAACCCGGGTCCTACTTCAAACCCAGCCTTTCTGCTCAAGAATCTGCCATGTGACCTCTCTTCACAGGATTCTGCGTGGAGGGGGACACAGCTCTGCACACTGCTAGCTCAGTAGCCAAGGTGGGAAAGGGGGGTGGGAGGATGAGCAGGCCACTGTGCCACTGCGAAAGAGGTCATCGCCTACTCATGGGGATAGGAGGAAGAAGAAGCAAGTGAGAAAAAAGAGGTAAGTACAACTGCAGTGGAAACTCAAAGTTTCTAGAAGAGCACTACTGAACTGTGAATGAGATGAAGAGCCTGGGCTATCAAAGGAAGGTGACCTTAAGCTGGCTAGTGAGAGGATTTCAACAGGCAGAAGGAACTTGAACAAAATTATGCAGATGTGTACAAACTTGCAAATTTCAGAAGAATTCAAATAGTCCAGTACGCAGAGACGGTAGGGGAAAAGACGTGACCCAGATACTAGGAATTGGAAAACAAGCAGGAAGCAGGTTAGCTGCCATATCTCCCTTATTGCTGGTGCCTAATTTTTTAAAGTTGAGGTTGTAAACTAGGACTGTGTTAACCAGGTCTGGCCTCGGTGTGTATTTAGTCTGCATATTTTTCACACCGATAAATGTCACATAAAAATCCAGAGTCATATTTTCTTTTAAAACACTAGAAGTCCAGGCTTTACTGGGCCCTCCTTTCAACACGACAGCAATTGGCCAGGACTGAGGGGAAGTGGCCGGTGTACCACAGTCCTCCCCGTTCCCTATTCTGCAACACCAGCTGCTTCATTCCTCATTCCTTGCAGCAGACATCTGAGATCATCACTCTGGATTTAAAATTTCACCTCATCACTTAACAAAGCAGAACACGGTCGATGTCAACACAACCACAGGAATAAAGGAGTGCTTGCGTACGCCACAGCACCACCTGTTCTGCAAGTCTCTGCTCAAACGTCTCCTCATCAGAGACCTTCTCTGATAAGCACCTTCTAAAACAGCACTTCCTCCACCCCTCTCTATCTGGCTTCATTTTCTTGACAGTACTCATCCCTACAAGTTGCAGATGCTGTTGTTTACCTACCTGGTCTCCTGTCATCACTAGATCGCGAACCCCAGTGAACCCCACGGGGAGCAAGGTCTCTCCTCTCATTTACAAAGCAAACAGAACAAGTACCTAGGTGCATAATGAGCACTCAATACCTATCTGTTGAATGAGAATTTGACTCTGGGTACTGAAATGCTTAGTGCACTTGAAACCTACCTTCTGTGCCTTGGCCCAGAACACATCTTCCAAGTGAGTGGCAAACCCTTCACTCAGCCACTCCTCTGTCCAGTCTCGAGCCCCAATTGCCAGGCCAAACCAGGCGTGAGCAATTTCATGGCAGAGACGGGTCCCACAGAGCTGGCTCATTCCAGTCAAGGTGCTCTGAGAGAGGAAGACGATGTGTGGGCTGTGGATAATGGGGGAGAAAACACACAAGAGTTTTGTCAGGGCCTGTCCTCATGACTGCCCCCCTGGGGGAGCTTTCTCAGCCCTGCCAGCCTGTTATTATCATGTGCATGCCAGATCACGACTGATAGGCTCGCAACTTAGATGCTTTTAGAAATAAATAAAGTGGCGGTTTGTGTTCCTGGCAGCGGTTCAGGCTGCCGTTTGCCAAGCAGTTGTCTCCGTCATCAAAAGGCTATTACCTGTAATAAGTAACCTGCATCGAGGTTTACACTGAAGAAATTACAAGGCGATGGAAGCGTTTACTCTGAAATCTGGACTGTAAAAGAAGAGCAGGTGTGAGAACGCGAAGCCCATGCTGACAAGACAGTGATCAAAGAAGACCCTTCAGCCAAAAATCTGAGTAGCTTACAGACAAAGTGAGAAGTCATGCAGAAGGACAGGAAAAGCCGAGAAGAATGGAACCAAACATTTTCTATTTCAGGCCAGGGCTGGTTACAGAGGTAACAAACTCACAGGTTCCCTGGATGGGTGAGGTTTCAAGAGACGCTGATAAAGGCTGAATCTCTGTAAGGCTGAGATTTTCAAAGGTATCTTTTCCTATCTACAGACGCTTATAATTCACATGACACAATGACAGGCAGAAAGAGAGAAGGAAGTTCACTCACTCAGGTGTGCAAATGGCCCCAGAGCTGGCACCAGCCAGGGAGATTTATTAATATCTAATCTCATTTCCCATACTTTGTTTTAAAACCCCAAACACCATGATTAGAGCTGCATTGATGAAACGGGAGG